AAAAAAGGTGTGAATGGTGCTCTGAGAATACACAGAACAGTACAGACAAACCTAGACAAGGTGAGATTTAAACTAATTTGTTGCCAGGCGCAGTGGCGCATGCCTGTAATCCCAGCCTGGGAGGCTGAGGCAGGAGAATCATTGTGAATTCGAGACCAGCCTGAGCTACAAAATGAGCTCAAGGCCAGCCTGGACAGCATAGCGAAACCCTATTTCATTTATTTATTTATTTTTTGGTCTTTTTGAGACAGGGTCTCGCTGTGGAGTTCAGACTGGCCTTGAGCTCACTTTGTAGCCCAGGCTGGTCTCGAACTCGCAACGATCCTCCTGCCTCAGCCTCCCTGAGTGCTGGGATTACAGGCATGCGCCACCACACCCAGCACAAAACCCTATTTCAAAAAGACAAAATAATAATAATAATAATAATAATTTGTGTGTGGGCACATGCACACATACACTGCTGATTGAATTCATGGTTTTTGCACTCAGTTACATCCCCACCCCATTTTTCTATTTTGAAATAAAAACTTGCTAATTGTCCAAGTTGAACTCGAACTTGCAATCCTCCTGCCTCAGCCTCCCAAATGCTTGGATTAAAGCCACCAATGCAAAGTTTAAACTAAATTTTAAACAGGAGAAAACTGTTAAATGAAACAGAGATGTATGCCAGGCAAGAAAATAAGCATACACAAAGATACAGAATTTTGTTTGTTTGTTTTCAGACAGGGTCTTGCCATGTAGTTCAGGCCGGCCTTGAACTCACTGCAGTCCAAGTGCTGGCATTATAGGCGCGCGCCACAACTCCCAGCAAGATACAGAATCTTGTACCTAGAACAGCGTAAAGCTAATTTCCCCCCTAGGAGCTACTGAATGTGTCATACTGCAGAATAATCCTGGAAAGAAAAGCAAATGGAAATGAATTAAGTAAGGTCTTTTTTTAAAATTCAGATTCTTTATTACTTGAAACCATGGGAAGCCATTAAAGGAAATGAATCAGAGCAATAACAATCAGACCTGACTCTGAGAGACACCATTATGTCAGCAGAGTAGAGGGCGGGTGGGTGGGAGCAAGGGGCAGGAGAGCTGAGCTGGGATGGTGATGAAAATGCTGAGCACCTGCAGTGACGGTGAGAGGGAGCGGGCTGGTACAGACCACAGCTGAGCAGTTCCCTCTCTACACAGGTAAGGACAAAGGGAATCGTTTGTTTTTTGTTCTGTTTTGTTTGGTACCAGGAACCAAATTCAGGACCTTGTGCTTGCCAGGCAGGTGCTTATGCCACTGAACTATATTCCCAGCCCCTTTTTTTTTTTTTTTTGAGACAGGGTCTCGCCATGCAGTTCAGGCTGACCTTGAACTCACTATGTAGCCCAGGCTGGCCTCCAACTCATAGCTATCCTCCTGCCTCAGCCTCCCGAGTGCTGCAATGACATGTGGGCCACACCCGGCGAGTCTCACATATTTTAAAAGAGATTCATTATGTACTACAAACATATACTAATCATTTTGTAAAAACCAGAGGTTCAGAGTTGGGCATGGTGGTGCACACTTGTCATCCCCGCACTCAGGAGGCTGAGGCAGGAGGTTCCCCACAGGTTTGAGGTCAACCTGGGCTACATAGCGAGTTTAAGACCAGCCTCAAAAAAAAAAAAAAAAACACAGAAATAAAGCTTTTATAACGGGGAAGGGAAGAAGGGTTGAAGGGAGGAGAGGAGGATGGCGGAAAAAAAAGAGTCAAGATATATTATGTACAA